GGAGGAGCGGTCCTGAGGGACAACACAGGGCTGTGTGAAATGCATCAGATTCCTCAGTGCTGGTGGCATGCAGTAGAAGTATGATTGCCTCCTGTACAGAGACTCACAGTTACTTGCTGCAGAGTAACAACTAACTGTTTTCTGTTTGCTGCTGTAGAAGGGAGAGATTGGGGGGTGGGACATAATTATCTGCCTCTTTCTATCCTCTTTGTCAGTTGATGCATCTTTGATGTCTCTTGTTTCAGTGCGTCTTTCCTGACGTGCAGACCTTTGCTGGCGGTTATGGAATGCTCTCAGAGACTGTCATGTTTGCTGCAGTTAATTAGGAGGACTCTTCAAAAATGTTTACGGCAATTATTTTTTATAACCTTGGTTTCTTATTCAACTTCGAAGGGCCAAGACACACATTCTCCTCTGAGAAGGCTTCTTAGTTGTTTAAGCAGAGTTCTCAGGAAGATGCTGCTTTCTCTCTTTGAGTTTAATTGATACATCCTGCTATTCTAAAAGTGACTTTTCTGGTTACAAATGATTTATGCTTTAAGCTAGGAAATACTCTAGTGAAAGGTTGCTTGGGACATACTGAACTGGTGCTGCTGGCTTATCATGGAGAGAGTTCATCTGTTTAGTTTCTTACTCTGGAGGATGCAGAGAGCAGAGGCCTGCAAAAGTTAAGGTGGCTCCTTCTTGGCTGTGAAAGAGTTAAAAAGGTGCCTTTGTAGAGCTTCTGGTGTAGAATAAATCCTGTGTGGCATGTTTCCTTCTGAACATTCAAATATATGGTATAGAGTTTTCTGTCTGCAAGCATAAATTCCCATCTTTGACAATGTTGCCCCAGTCTCATAAGAACGGCCATACTGAATCAGACCAATCTAGTCCAGTATCCTGTCTCTGACAGTGGCCAGTACCAAATGCTTCAGAGGTAATAAACTGAACAGTGCAATTTTGAGAGATTCATCCTTTGTTGTCCAGTCCCGTTTCTGGCAATTGGAGGTGTAGGGCAGGGGTGGGCAAACTACGGCCCACGAGCCATTTTCAGCTGGCCTGCAAGCCGCACCATGCGGCTCGGTCCCGCTCTGGCTGGGGCGCTGGGCCAGGAGCCACATCCCGCGGTTCGGCCCCATTCCGGCCGGGGCGCTGGGTCGGGGGCCGCATCACGCAGCTCCCAGAAGCAGCAGCATGGCCCTGCTCCAGCTCCTATGCGCTCCAATGGGAGCTGCAGGAGCGGTGCCTGTGGATGGGGCAGCATGCTGTTTTTCCTTTATACAGCTTGGGCTTTTGATCTTGTCCCCATGTAACAGGTGATCAGCAGAGAATGACTTGCTCCTCAAGGCAGGAAGGGCCGAGTTTTTACATAACCAGAAGTGGGGATTTGCATTCATCTCCCCCTAGATCTTCCCCCAGATCTCTCATATGAGCAAGAATTTTTAATGAATCTGTAAACTCAGGGGTTGTACCGTATGACTGGAGAATTGCTAACATAGTTCCTATTTTTAAGAAAGGGGAAAAGGAGTGATCCGGGTAACTACAGGCCTGTTAGTTTGACATCTGTAGTATTCAAGATCTTGGAAAAATTTTTGAAGGAGAAAGTAGTTAAGGACATTGAGGTCAATGGTAATTGGGACAAAATACAACATGGTTTTACAAAAGGTAGATCGTGCCAAACCAACCTGATCTCCTTCTTTGAGAAGGTAACAGATTTTTTTAGACAAAGGAAACACAGTGGATCTAATTTACCTCAATTTCAGTAAGGCATTTGATACGGTTCCACATGGGGAATTATTAGTTAAACTGGAAAAGATGGGGATCCATATGAAAATTGAAAGGTGGATAAGGAACTGGTTAAAGGGGAGGAGACTACAGCGAGTCATACTGAAAGGTGAACTGTCAGGCTGGAGGGAGGTTACTAGTGGAGTTCCTCAGGGATCGGTTTTGGGACCAATCTTATTTAAACTTTTTATTACTGACCTTGGCACAAAAAGTGGGAATGTGCTAATAAAGTTTGCGGATGACACAAAGCTGGGAGGTATTGCCAATACAGAGAAGGACCGGGATATCATACTGGAAGATCTGGATGACCTTGTAAACTGGAATAATAGTAATAGGATGAAATTTAATAGTGAAAAGTGCAATGTCATGCATTTTTAGGGATTAATAAGAATTTTTGTTGTAAGCTGGGGACGCATCAGTTGGAAGTAACAGAGGAGGAGAAGGACCTCGGAGTATTGGTTGATCACAGGATGACTATGAGCCGCCAATGTGATATGGCCATGAAAAAAGCTAATGCGGTCTTGGAATGCATCAGGCGAGGTATTTCCAGTAGAGATAAGGAGGTGTTAATACCGTTATGCAAGGCACTGGTGAGACCTCATCTGGAATACTGTGCAGTTCTGGTCTCCCATGTTTAAGAAGGATGAATTCAAACTGGAACAGGTACAGAGAAGGGCTACTAGGATGATCCGAGGAATGGATTATGAAAGGAGACTCAAAGAGCTTGGCTTGTTTAGCCTAACCAAAAGAAGGCTAAGGGGAGATATGATTGCTCTCTATAAATATATCAGAGGGATAAATACCAGGGAGGGAGAGGAATTATGTAAGCTCAGTACTAATGTGGACACAAGAACAAATGGATATAAAGTGGACATTAGAAAGTTTAGACTTGAAATTAGACAAAGGTTTCTAACCATCAGAGGAGTGACGTTCTGGAATAGACTTCCAAGGGTAGCAGTGGGGGAAAAGACATATCTGGCTTCAAGACTAAGCTTGATAAGTTTATGGAGGGGATGGTATGATGGGATAGCCTCATTTTGGCAATTAATTGATCTTTGACTATTAGCGGTAAATATGCCCAATGGTCTGTGATGGGATGTTAGATGAGGTGGGATCTGAGTTACTACAGAGAATTCTTTCCTGGGTGTCTGGCTGGTGAGTCTTGCCCACATGTTCAGGGTTTAGCTGATCACCATATTTGGGGTCGGGAAGGAATTTTCCTCCAGGGCAGATTGGCAGAGGCCCTAGGGTTTTTCACTTTCCTCTGCAGCGTGGGGCATGGGTCACTTGCTGGAGGATTCTCTGCACCTTGAAGTCTTTAAACCATGATTCGAGGATTTCAATAGCTCAGATATAGGTTAGGAGTTTATTACAGGAGTGGGTGGGTGAGATTCTGTGGCCTGCATTGTGCAGGAGGTCAGACTAGACGATCATAATGGTCCCTTCTGATCTTAAAGTCTGAGTCGCATCTCCCTCTTTGAGAGGTTACATACAGTCCCAGCCCACAATAATACATAAACCATTCTTCTAATACAATGGACCACAAAGATATTTAATCTTAATTTGATAAGGTCTCCCAAGGATATTTCAGGAAATTGCCCCATCTGTAACAAAGACCAGCCCTGAGTCACTGCCATTGTATCCATTCCCTTGGGTATGTTTGTCACAGTTGGTACCGTACTGCCAGCAGCCTCCAAACCTGAAGTGTTTCTCGAATTCTTCTGTCAGGGTCAGAGTGGAAGAGGTAGTTGCTGTCTGTTCTTTTCACCCCCACCCCAGTTTGCCTTCTGCAAGCTTGATTCTTGCAGCACTCCCAGCTAATGCTTGTGTGGTGTCCCTGAACCCCATTCGGTGCGTAGTGGCACAGTGTGTTAACCAGGGAGCAGTCAGGACAATAGCCAGGGCCTTACTGCCAGTGAGAGATGCAATGTAGGTGTGGGGTTGTAGTCTTCCACTGTGCGATGCAATTCAGCTAATCATCCCGTACAGTATTTACATCCGCCCTTTTCAGTTTGTTGGTAGCTGTCCAGATTGGAGGTTCTGTCTACAAAAAGAGCTTTCATATTATCATACTCTTCAGGATGATCCCATTTTGAGTGGCAGCAAATATAAATAAATACCAATATTGAGCAGTGTCTGGTAAGAACCTGTGGTATATAGAGGTCAACAGAAGCCCAGGTAAAGCACATGGAGGCCGCTGAATCCCCTCTCCCAAACCAACAAGATCACTAGCAGGTTCCTCTGGGCAGCCGTGTCTGCGTACCATAATAGGAATAATTAACCCATTAGTGACACAGGACAGGGAATTCTGTGGAAAGCAAAGGGTCTGAAACATCAAGAGGCAATGGAAAATCCAAGTCTGTTGGGCATGGGATGGAATTTAATGTGTGTAATATATACCATAGAGGTGATAGTGCACCCTGTTGTGATGGCATCTAGAACAGCATGTGCCGTTTAGGAAACTACAAAAGATATAAAAATTTCCTGGTTCCTTTTATTATGTGGTCACACAATGGAATTAATAGGCAGCCGGTTTAAAAGAAACGTAAGGAAGTACTGCTTCACACAACACACACTCAACTGTGCAACTTGTTGCCAGGGGATGTTGTGAAAGTGGAAAGTTATAACTGGGTTCAAAAAAGAATTAGGTAAGTTCATGGAGGATAGGTCCATCAGCGGCTATTAACCAAAGTGGTCAGGGAAGTAGCCCCCTGCCCTGGCGTTCCTAAATCTCTGACTGCCAGAAGCTGGGCCTGTACAACAGGGGATGGATCACTTGATAAGTTGCCCTGTTCTGTTCATTCCCTCTGAAGCATCTCGCACCGGCCACTGTTGGACAACAGGATACTGGGCTAGATGGACCATTGCTCTGAGCCAGTATGGCCATTTTTTATGTTCTCAATATGACTTTGGGGATGGGGAGCAGGGGTGCTAGCCTTGGAGATGACAGTGAGAGTTCAGAAAAGGAATCGTTCCCCCTCTCAAAAATAAGTTAGGATTAGAGGCATGAGAAAAATTGTAGGCTGCATATCTGGAATGCTTAGCAGAGTGCCTGGGTGATGGGATAGACTCCTCAAGGGAGGTGGCTCGGCTCTTTGAGAAAAAGGTTACATGTTAGTAGGTCTGAGCCCTGCAGGGAGCTTTTCTGACTTTGTGATTTCTGAACCTGAATGCTCTGGACTGCTGGAGCGGAGCTGGCTGTGTGTGTCTGTGAAAGGAAACTGGCCATTTTAACACCGGCAGACTTCATGGTGGTTTTTCTGTTCCAGGGCACTGAGTCCATAAAGTTGGAAAATGGACAAAGCACAGCAGCTAAGCTGGGGCTTCCTCCTCTCACCCCGGAACAGCAGGAAGCTCTTCAGAAGGTGAGTGGCCCTCATGTGGCCTTTCTTTAGCTCTTCCTGATTGCTAGTGTCAGACTTGCTGCCACAGAGGGGAGAACACCAGGTGGGGAACCCGCCTGCCAGGAATACATAGGGGATACTGACTGCGCTGTCCCTGCACCTGAGCTCTTAGAATCATGCCCGAGAAATGTTTTTTCTTAGTTGTGAGTTCCTAGTAGCTGCGTGGGAACATTATGGGATATATTTGTTTAAAAAAAAACAACCTTGCTGAGATCAAAATAGATAACAGCTTGATCTTAAACTTGTTAAGAGGTTTCTCTGATCCCAATGATGATGAGATGCTGCTGCCCCAAAGTCCCTGTCAGGTGCAGCCTGGACTCAACAATTAATAGATTCCAGAAATGCTCCAGCTGAATCCTCTGCAGGATTCATGCTAGAACACACTGCAAAATCTCTCTACCTTTCCTGTGCTCTCTGGCAACTAATTACTTGCCCCTTTGTAATAAGCGGACCTTTAATATACTGCAAAGATTATTTCATCCCTTTGGAGCCAAGCTATTTTAATTGTAGAACAAGTCCATCCCAACTCTGATCTCTGGTTCTGGATTCTATGTGTGCAGCTGGTGAGGACATTACTTCTGGCTTCCGCTCCTAGTGGGAACGGGTGATGTCTGAAGTGCTGAGAGGAGAGCAGAGCAGAGTTGGGGAAGGTGGGAGCTGTGGGCTAGGTGTCTCCCAGATTCTGGTGAGGCAGGTATGCCATTGTTCTCTGTAGGCTTGGTGTGAATGTTCCCATAATGCTGAAGCTGCTTGTGTGTCTGTGTTTGGCTCGCAGTGTGAAACGGCTTCGTTTCCTCTGGCTACTCCATAGCTGACAGATGTAAATCCCATTGTCCGTTTCCAGGTTTCCGAAGCACCCGCCTCAAATCCACGGTTTAGAGCCTGCCGTTCCCCGGCACCTCCCAAACACGTACAGCAATGGAAAGCAGGTGCCTTTGAGTGGGGTTGGCTGAATCTGTCCGTCCTGTCACCTGGGCATGGCACATCCATGGGTATTAGTGACCCCTTGATTAGGAGCCTCCATCTCAGCATCATTGGATGTGCAAGGCTCAGTGTTTTCCAGAGTGGTAGAAGGCTGGGTAAAGGAAAGAGTTCAGCCTTGTAGCCACAGGTCAGGGGACTGATGGAGGGAGCTGGAGTATATAGAAGGACCCACAGCTCCTGCTTACCAAGATAGTGTAGGCCTACTCTGACAAGGAAGGGAAGGGATTTGCTCAGTGCAGAGTCTGGGCATGGGGAATAGGAGCTGCCTCGCTCTTTGTAGAACCTTTTGTCCAGATGTTCTCTGAGTGGAAAGGACTTGAAGGAGACTATCTGTCCTGCCCTCAACTCAGCAGGTAAGGTGCAGTGGTGGGAGCTGAGGGGCAGAGGGAGGAAGAGGGAAATGCTGAGTGTGTAGTGCATGATGCTTTCCTAACATTGCGCCTGCTGCAGACTCTGAGTCCACCCAGTCCTTGCTCAAGCATTGTGCTGTATTTCAGGGTGAACAACTCCAAGATGCTGACCAAGATCATAGTAAGCTGTCGGCCCTTGACTAATGAAAAGTGCCTTAGTGCTTGGGGCCAGAGCACTGGAAAGCACCAGTGGCAGCCAGTTGTGGGGTTCTGGGGAATGTTGTATGAAGTTAAATGTCCTTCCCTGGCGCCTTGTGGAGTCCTGTGCCCTGTGATTATGGAGACTGTATTTCCTTCCAGGCAAAGAAGTATGCGATGGAGCAGAGTATCAAGAGTGTGCTGGTGAAGCAAACCATCGCCCACCAGCAACAGCAACTCACTAACCTGCAGGTGAGAGATCCCTTTGGGCTCATCCCCTTGCCTTTACTCTCCCCACAAGGTGGAGCCTTTTATGCACTTAGAACCAGAGCACAGCCCTGAGGTCTGCCTGGAGCCAGGTACTTGCACTTCTGTTTCCGCAGTGAAATCGAAGTATGTTGTCTTCGGCCCTGTCGAGGAAATCCCTCTCCTGTCCTCATACATACGCTCACCCTCCCTGCCCCCCAAGAAAGCAAACTGCCCTGGGAAGAGAAGCTAATGCTTCCTCTTCTGTTGGCTGGCTAGACAATTTTTTCAGTTGCCAGAAAATCAAAGCATCTGCAGTGAGTTCCACTGTCAACCTGAAGCTAAGGTGGTGTCTGGGGTTACTGGGAGCAGTATCCTTTCACCATCCTTTCCCCCATGAAGAGATGGTGCCTGTCTCTCTGGCTTTGCTGGCAGTGTCCCCGCTACCATGGACTCTGTGGATTTTTCTCAGAACTCCAGCTGGTTATTCCTGCTAATGCAGGATTGTCCACGTCCTAGGAGACCCCTCTGCTGCTGTTTTAAACCCCCCTTCCTTCTGAGATTCCTTATATACAGCTCGCTGCCTCCTGCTTGAGGTTAAGGAGCCCAGCATAATGATTTGGGGGGTTGTGTATGTTTAAAAAATGTTGAAGTGGGGATGTGCCAGCCGCATTAGGCAGCTCTGGCTTTTCAGGGCTGTGTATGTTTCTGGGCGGCTGCTCTAGATGAGGGGCTCCTTGTAATTGCTGGGGGTGAATCAACGACAGTGGTTACAGAGGTTACTATTGCCTTGAGTCCCCCCTGGGAGAAGACCCTGCTTCCTGAGGCAGTGGCAGCAGCACACCCCTACCCAGAGTTGGTGGGACTGGCATCTGCAGGGTCCCAGCGCTGGACAGTCCTTGGGACCGGGCAGTGAGGGGCAAGGAAGGAGAGGCCTCTCCCACAGGTTCCCTGTGCCGTCGCTCTCTGCTTGAGTTTTTACGAACAGCCGTAGTATGCTCAGCTCCAACAGACTGAACTCTGTCTTTACTGTCTTTCAGATGGCAGCAGTGACAATGGGCTTTGGAGATCCTCTCTCACCTTTACAATCGGTCAATAGACATATTCACTTCTTCTTGGGCACTTTGTCTTAGTCAGGGCCTAGAGTGGGGAAGTATTTAGTGGTAATATAATGCTCTTAACTAAACCCAGCACAACCCTCCCACATACCCACCTGCTATGGACAAGCACAACAAACTGAGACAAAGTGTAAACTCCCCAAAGGAAGACCTTGGGCTGGGTACAGTCTGCTGTGACACTGGCACCCTGGGCCCTGGAGTCAATTGCAAAGAGAGCTTTAGATTTCAAGCAGTTCTGAACACCTGTGAAATTGTGGGAGCCACCTTTCTAGGGATGCTACAGTTCTGAGGTCCTGACCTAAAAGTAACTGCCAAGGTAACTCACAAATGGGCAATTTGTTAAGAAACCAGCACACAGAACAGAGACCTGGTAGCTATGGTGCTGGGGAGCACTGGGGCATTACAGGCTTTCAGAGCATATCCTAGACCAAATGTGAGACTTCTGTTGCTATGTGCATACTTGTAGGCTAGGGGAATTTGGCACGTATTTCAAGTAAAGCAATGAGGACTGGAGCAAAAAGAACAATAGAGTTATTCAAAGAAAAGCAGTGCAATCCCATAGTGCTGGAAGTTTCTAATCTACCCCCACAGAGAGTCTGGTTTACCTGGGATCATCTGTCCCCACCCCTTCTAGACACATGGGGCACTGGCATACGTGGGCTATAAACCCCCCTCTCCTCCTGCAACGGTCACTTTAAATGTTTCCTCTTCTAGCTGAAATGTAATCTCTTTGGTTGGTGTAAAATGCAACCTGGAGGCCAGTGCTGCAAGGGGAAGAAGCATTAAAACTAGACATGCCTGGCTTCCCTTCTGTAACACTGCCACGGTAGGTAGCTTGTCAGCTGGGGAGCCAAAATAGCATTGGGGGGCGGGGGGGAGGTAAGCTTGGAGTGGGACAGGAAGCGCCATCTCTGCCTGAAGGCAGCACGGCCAGTTCCTGACCCATGTTGCCCAAGCACCCTCTTCATCAATTCATTTAGATACTATTGATCTCCCATATCACTAATTCTGTTAAACTGTATTTTGCAGCCACATCACGCACAATTGGGTAACAGAGATGAAAACATGTAATAATGATAGAGGATGTCTTTGTTAACAGGGCCCTCAAGATTAATCATGGGCTTAGTATTGTAAATCACATTTAAAAAAAAAAAAAAAAAAAAAAAAAAAGCCTCCCTCTGCCAGGAGCCAGCACCTGCTGTTGGAGGGACAGAAAGGCTAGAAGTCAAGGCTTTGCCCTGGATCAGCCATCACGGGGTGTTGTGAACTCGATGTCATTAAGATCCCTGTTTCCCCGCCAAATGCTTTATCTGAAGGCCTGTCGGGAGTGTGGAGCGCAAGTATACCTTAAGAACAGGACAGTCTCCACTGTCAGGACCCACAAGGCCCATATGTGAGGGAAGTGCAGCCTGAGACTCCTGTTATAGCGTCTTATTGACCATAGTCAAAGCTCCCTATCCAGCAGCCCTCTACCTGCTGGAGTGTTACCGAGCAAGGTTTCACCTTGTCACTTCACCAAGACAAGCAGTTTCCTTGCATAACTGCATCAAAAGTGCAGATGAAAACAGTGGTGCTTTGCATGTCGCCTCCCTCATTTTGAGCTCCATCCTGAAAAGGTGCATGTTAACTTGTCCTTAATAATAATCCTCCGTAGCTCCTAACTAACAGCACTGTCTATACGTACAAACACTGACTGCCCACCTGGAGGTTGGGGAGGAATCCTTAGCCTCTGTTTACAGATGGGGAAGCGGAAAGGTCACGTGCCCAACCCACAGCTACAGAGGGGCAGGACCAGGATTCACATGCACATTCTTGGCACCTGGTCCTGCGCTAAATTCACAAGAATATGCTGCCTTTTCCCTTAACTCACTGCACTGCAGGTTCCTACTACTACTCCACATGTGCCTGTTACCATCATAGTCCAGCTCAACCCTAGCTTGGTGGCCCAGATCGATAACGTAAAGGAGTGTAAATGGGTTCCTCAGAACTTCACTCCTGCTGCTGCTGGAGTCTCCTGCTTGTGCAGAAGGTTTAGAATGTGGATTTCCCACGGTGAGGGTTGCTGCCATTGGGAAAGGGCTAGTACTATCAGTCTTGTCTCTGTGCCAGGTATCATTGGAGGAGAAGAGAATGCCCCCTTTGTGTACACATCTTTAAAGGTGTGGAAAATCCCTATGCCTGGGGCATGGGCCTCAGGCTGGCTAGAGTAGTAAGAAGAGGACTAAAGTAATAGCAAAAGGGGAGACTAGAATGAGGGAAGATCTGAGCACTCAGCACAAAATCAAGATGTTGAGAACAAAATTAATCAAGGAACCAAAGAACATGAAGAGAAGAAATTATCTAATTGCCGATACACCAATGCTAGGAGCCTGGGTAACAAACAAGAGGAACTGGAATTGCTCATTTATGAGCATAAACTTGGTCTAGTTAGTATTACTGAAACCTGGTGGGTTGGTTCACCCAACTGGAATGTTACAATCAATGGGAAGGGGGAGGGGCATTCTATGTCCAAAATGGCATTAGCTGTTTGCGAGTCGCTGATAACTCGGAAGAAGACAGATAAAGCACAAGCGGGGTACTAGTTGGTGTCTGCTACAGACCACCAAAGCCCACTAGGGAATAGGATGACCGCTTCCTTATGCACCTAATTACAATGTGTACAAATAAAAGCTGTGTGATCATGGGGGACTTCAGTTTGAGTGACATATGGTGGAGGTCTTGTGCTGCCAGTACAGAAACATCCTTAGAATTTCTAAGCATTCTAGATGACCGTTCCCTAACTCAGAACATATTGCGGCCTACACAGGGGATGCTGTACGAGACCTTGTTCTAACAGAGAGGGGAACGGATCACAGAACAAAATATTAATGGTAGCTTAAGTACAGGTGATCATGGCTTGATCGCATTTATAATGTGCAAGCAGAATAAAGTCCAGACCATAATATAGATGATTGGTGCATTTAATAGGGCCAATTTCACAAAGCTGAAAACAGTTATGAGCCAGATCAGTTGGGAGGAAGAATTGAATCAGAAAAATGTGAATGATGATTAGGAATCATTTAAGAACATCTTACTAGAGCCCCAAAATGCCACTGTCCCACAATCAAGGAAGAAGGCCAATTTTAGAGGGGAAGTGAAGGTAGCTGTAAAAAATAAAAAGTAAATATATAAAAACGCAAACTGGCATCCTCTGTACACAAGGGATCACCACAACGCCATCTGCTGATGGGGTCACAGCCCACAGTCGGGAACCTCTGCAGGAAATAATACATTAAAATGGGGTTGTGCCTGCATACAGTTTGGGAACCCCTGATGCAACCAGTGGAAGGAAGGGGAAGCTGATAGTAATGAATGTTGGCTTCTCAAGGGTGGGAGGATTGGGAGACTGCACTAGAGATATTCTTGCCTAGCTGCCCTACGGTGTGACTGTGCCTCACTTTTCACCTGGCTCACAGGCTTTTGGAGCTATCCTAAAATCTCATTTAAAAGCGTAAAACACAGCCCCAGTGTAGAGGCAAAACCAAACCTTTGTTTCCTTTGTTTGATGAGTCCAGGTTCAAGTTAGTCTAATATAACTGCAAGCGCAGGAGTGTGGTGTGAGAACCTGGTTCAATGATAGTGCTTCCTCCCCTGAAGTGCTAGGAATCAATCCCGAATGAGGCTGTATTTTCAGCTGCAAACAGTTACCTCCCTGGTCATGGTGACCGGCTCAAATGCATTTGGCATCTATTGTGTGCAGTTGTCTCGTCAGACACAGTCCGTGCCTGCTCTGTCCATTACTGTGTTGCAGGAGAGACCCCCTGGCCACCCCTTCGTTACCATTGAGTTGTGGCATCCCTAGACAGGACACAGAACAACTCTGAGCTCATTGTGCTCACCCTTATGCCAGAGCTCTCCACCTGCATTAGGCCTTCATGTAATGGACTTATAGCAAGGCCCTTCTTGGGGGGTCAGTGTTCACAGAGCTCCCTATTTGGGTGTGGAGCACTGTAGAATTGGGTTGGGGAGGAAGGCACTAAGATTAGTGCTGCTTTTGCCCTCTTTGTAGGGCCCTCACCACTTTGCATTCGTTCCAGCTGTTCCAGGCAGAATAAGAATGTAGCCCTGTACAAGCCTCCAGTGTGCTATAATAAATACACTATTGCTGATCATAGGGAGCTGCCTCTGCAGGGCTTTCCTTTCTGCCTTGGTCCCAATGCATGCTGATAAGATCACAGATTTGGCCAGTGTGTCCTAGCAGGCAGCACCTTCCTAGGTGAAGTTCTTAGAACTGCCATGTGGCTTGGAGGAAGCTGGTTTTAGGGATACCATCTGGGGAACGACCAGGTTCCTCTTGCAAACAGACTTTCAGACAGGTTCAGGAAAAGAGCACAGAGGCTTTCTCTGCACTGAGACAGACAATGGCTGAGTCTGTGGGGCTGTACCACTGTAGGTGCCAATACCAATGGAAGATGCCAACTGTGAGCACCACAGACTTCCCCAAGAGAAGGGTTTTGTTTAATCGCTGGATTTTTGTTTGTTTTTATTGAACTGTACAGTGCAGCTGGCGCCCAGTGTCAGTTCCTTTAATGTCAAGGGAGGGAGAGGGGAGGAGGTGGAGGCCGGTGCCAAACCCCTTGCTGCCCAGGGAGTGGGAAGGAGGTGGTTCCCAGTACTAGATCCCTTGATGCCCAGGGCAGGGGAAATGAGAGCACGTGGTGCCCAATACTGGATCTTTTGCTGCGCCATGCAGGACAGGAGGGATTGCTGTTAGTGCCTGATGTTGGATCCCTTGCTGCCTGGATTTCCCCTGCCTGGAGGGGAACCTGTTTTAGAATGAAGGTATTTCCCCCTGCTGCAGGCATTGCCAGAGATGTGATCTTGTCAGGGTGGGTTGGAGTTAGGGCTGCTGAGGTGGCAGAGCATATCAGAGACTTGACTGTGCCCCTGGGAGTGAGCCTTACTGCCCACGCACTCCCCACCAGTCCATGCACTGAGCAGACAAATACTTCTTTACCACTAAGAGTGTGCCAGGCTGTGCTGCAGCCAGTGAGGAGCTGCTTGCTGTTGGGTCACAGCTCCTGGGGAGGGTGGGACGGGAGAGAGCTGTCCTGGTATCTGTGACTACCCCCTAAGCTAACCAGCCAGTTCTTCTTTCCAAAACAGATGGCAGCTCAGAGGCAGCGGGCGCTGGCCATCATGTGTCGTGTGTACGTGGGCTCCATATACTACGAACTGGGAGAGGACACCATCCGCCAGGCCTTTGCCCCATTTGGACCTATCAAAAGCATTGACATGTCCTGGGACTCTGTTACAATGAAACACAAGGTTGGTTAACAGCCCCTAGGAGTGGTTTCCTTTTCTCTAAGGTCACCTGCATGCGTCCAGGGAAGGAGGAGCCTTTACCCTCCTAGTCTGCAGTATACAGCAAGCTGTCTTAGTAGGTGGTTCTCCAAGTGCAGGTCCCTATTGTATTCCACGGAGGGTTCTGGGCAGGCGCCCGGAGCCGGAGCTTTTAGGATTGACTGTAATAGCCTCCTGCGCTGCCACCAGAAGCCATAGCAGTGACCTAGCAGCTGCATGTGAGACCATTGTAGGGATGTGGGGCATGGAGCCTGGGGAATGCTGAGCAGTTAGCCTGCCTTGAGTGCATGCACTGGTCTTTCTCTCTTGCTAAAAGGCCTGATTTATGTATAAGCAGCTCAGGAAGCAAGTGGCTGCAAGTCTGTTCAGGCGCTTTCATGCTTCAGCTTGTTGCTCTCTGCATGAGCATGCTGTTGGGAAAGGCTTTGAGGATGGGATTCTCTGGCTGAACAGTTGGGATCTGGCACAGTGTGATACAGACAGGCTGCATTAGTTGGCAGAGTGGGGAATGCGTGCACTAGGGGGTGCAGCAAGAAGAGATTGGTACAATTTAATAGGGTTTCTCCTCTATCCTAGGGCTTTGCTTTTGTGGAATACGAGGTGCCTGAAGCTGCTCAGTTGGCCTTGGAGCAGATGAACTCAGTCATGCTGGGTGGGAGAAACATAAAGGTGAGTGACAGCAGGTTGTGTCACGTGGGAGGCGAGTCTGGCTCATGCTGCTGTTTGTGTTACAGGGATGGGGCTTTTCAGGTGGTCAGAGGAGCCTGAAGAAGAAAATCTGTGTTCCTAGGAGATCTGTTCCTCAGTGGGCCTCTTTTCAATGCACCACCTGAGGCCACTCACTGAGAACTGGCTGGTTCTTGGCACCTGCCTCTGACCCTTGGGAAGAGCCCATAAAGTGTTAATCTACACTAGGAGGAGGGAGGGGTGTTGGACTCTGTTCTGTTCCTCCCCATGCACAGAATGGGAGCCCTTTGTGGCCTAGATATGGAGTCTGGGGGGCAGCAGCCAGGTCCTGAGGAGAGGGCAGGTGAGTGACTGCTGACCCTGGTTGTGCCTGTTGGGCTCTGCAGAAAGGGGGCTTGTTTGTATGTGTCTTAGGAGGCAAATGAGGCTCTGGGGTAACCTAGTCCTCTGCGTCAAGGGGGGGAGGGGTTAGTACAAACTGAAAGGAACAAGGGACTTGAGCTATGTATTCCCAGACATCAAGTAAGAGATTCCCTGACAGGTGTGGGAGACTTTGGGGGGCGTCCGTTTGTGGTGTCTCTGAAAACCCAGTGTCCTTACGTCTGTCACCAAAATCATTTCCTCTTAGGTCCCTCTTCAGGCAGTTGCAGTGCCTGATCGATTACAGGTTTTTGGGAGCTCCAGAGAATGGTATGGAGGCATTGTGCCCTGCCTGTAGCATTGACAGCTAGTCAATTGTAGCATTGGAAGCTAGTCACTAGTAAGGGAGGGAAGCTACACGTCTGAAATATGCTTGCTCAGTAACAAGTGCAACAGAAAACATCCTGTATCTGGGCTGTCTCAGTAACCCTGATATCCCATGGTGGTCTGCGGAGTCACTGGAGACTACAACCAAGACATGATAATTAATTGCGACTCTGTGGTGCTAATTGCCGTGCCATGGAAAGTATTATGTGGGGTTCAACTGCTCTTCCTTAGCATTTACAGTCCTTGTGTCTAGGGTGAGTCACAGTGCTGCCTCTTGGAGCACTCAAAGAGGTGTTCGTGTTTGCTTTGCTCTCCACAGGTTGGTAGGCCTAGTAATATTGGACAGGCACAGCCAATCATCGACCAGCTAGCAGAGGAGGCACGGGCTTTCAACCGCATCTACGTGGCATCTGTTCACCAGGATCTCTCAGATGACGACATTAAGAGTGTGTTTGAGGCCTTTGGGAAGATTAAGTCCTGCACGCTAGCCAGGGACCCTACAACAGGGAAACACAAAGGCTATGGCTTCATTGGTAAATTGGCTGCTCTGATACCTGTCATGGAGTGGGTGGGAATATCATTGGATTTGGATCTATCATTGGATGTCTGCTCCCTCCAGTGGCAATAAGCTTCTGCTTTCAGTTATGGGTTAGAGTGGTAGTGAGAGCAGCCCATGGCCTGATGTCAGAGGGCTGCCTGGCTCTCAGTTGGAAACTGGATTCTGTGTTCTTGTTCAGCTAGCACCTACGGTGTGACGAGAACCATCTCCCTTTACACTGAATGTTTGAGAAGATCCTGGATAATCAGAGGGATGGGGTGTGTGATCTAAGAGGTGTGGGAGTGGTTGGTAGGGACACTGACGGCTGCCGCTCTAGACCATTGTGTTCTTAGAAGTACAAACCTAAGTTGTGCAGGGAAAGGGGTCTAAGTTTAGGAGGCAGGGAATGGGGCATTTTCCCTGGGAGCCTGAAATGTCCACCTTTAAGGAGCACTCTGTCAGGGTTCCAATTATCATTGCAGAGTATGAGAAGGCACAGTCATCACAAGATGCTGTCTCATCTATGAACCTCTTTGACCTGGGTGGCCAATATCTCCGGGTTGGCAAAGCTGTCACTCCCCCAATGCCTCTCCTAACACCTGCAACGCCTGGAGGATTACCCCCTGCAGCAGCGGTGGCTGCAGCAGCTGCCACAGCAAAGATCACAGCTCAGGTAAGAAACAGAGCAGCAGGACTGGAAACGAGGTGGGTGAGTGCGTGCGTTATGTAGAGTCCAGCAGTCCTATTGAACACGGGGATACAGATTGCCCAGTGCACTGAGTCAGCAGTACTTATGGGAGCTCCTGACTAGGTGGCCTTTGTTGTACCCTACCGAGTAGTTCTCCCGGCCTCATGTGGAGACTGGCCTAGGAGTAGCTGTCTGTGCTACACCCTCCAGGCTTGGGTCTGGCCTGCCAAGGTGTAGAAACAGGCCTGATTTACACCACAGTGTCACGGACTCACAGATCGTGCCCACTCTTGGCCCCGTGCGGTGAGACAGCCCTTCTCGGGGGTCCACTCTCTCTCGGGGTCAGGCCCCTCCACCTCCTGGAGCCGCACCTCTCTGAGCCTTAGCATGTCTGTCTCTGCCGTGGGCCCCCTCAGGGAGTCCCCTTGGTCTGGACCCCTGGGGCCTCCACCCCCGAAGGGGTTGATGCAACCCTGTTCTCTAGACTGGAGTGACTCTCAGCCAGCATAAAACAGGAGGATTTGTTGAGAGTTGAACACAGCCCAGGAAACTCTCTGACCCTCAGGCCTGGCCTCCCTCAGCCCAGCACATCCCAGTCTCCCTGCATCCAGGTGGGCTCTGCCTGCTCCCCCTCTCCAGCCCAGAGCCCCCCTGCTTCCCAGCTGGGCATCTGAGATCCCCGGCCCCAAGCCCCACCTCTGTCCATTGTCTTCTCTCCAGGTAAACAGGGTCGTAAACCGGGGCCTCCTCTCCTCGCTTCTGTCCTCTGGCTGGAACCGGCTGGTTAGGTCACTGGGTCCTCACTCTGCAGCCCATTGTCCTCCCACTGGCCAGAACCAGCTGCGATTCCTGAGCTGGGTCTCCGGGTCCGGTCGCTGGGGTATCCATCCTCCAGGCCATTGGCTGGGGTCCCATGTTCCCTCTCCGGTCCTCTGTAACAACAAACTCCCTCTCCCCTCACCTCGTTAAACCAGTAACACCCAGGGAAACTGAGTCCCACCCCCTCCGCATGCAAACCATTGAAACCCCACCGAAAACAAGAAAACAAACAAGAAAACCCCCCACTTCGTCACACACAGACAGGCTTATTTGTTTTGATTTAGTGTGATTGTTCTGTAACAGTATTGCCTAAGTAGGGCCACCTTAGAAGAGCAAGAGGTGGCTAGGAAGTGGGGAAGCTTTTTGCTCTGGAATTGACTCCATCCCGCTAAAACCGTCCTGGAGACTTTGGGTTGGGGATCCCTTGGCATGTCTGTCATTCAGGGCCCTACACATGAGCCGATTGGCGTTGGGTGATAACTGTGAAGTGTGGGGGAGTGCCTGCTCTTCAGGGGGTTGAGATGTGGCGGCTGTCTACAGGAAAGGCGAGTTGAGGGCAATCCTCGGCATGTGTCGGTGTGATTAAGCGGAGTTGCATACATTTCGCCGCTCTGGCCAGTGGCTGAGCTGGGCCTTGTAGTTTTACAGGTCATTTGCCCCCATGCCCTGGCGATTTGGTAAGTCTCTACAAAGGTAAAAAGAAAAAACCTGAGCAGAGCACACCCTGAGCATGACTTTCTGAAGCAGAATTAACACTCTGGCTTTTCTCTTGTAGGAAGCAGTGGCAGGAGCTGCAGTCCTTGGCACTTTAGCAACACCTGGGCTGGTGTCACCAGCGCTGACACTGGCTCAGCCTCTGGGGGCATTGCCGCAGGCCGTAATGGCAGCACAGGCACCAGGAGTCATTACAGGTGCGTCTGCTCTTCATTCTGTCATTTCCACAACTATTCCGAGAGAGCACCAGTCCCCACAGCTGGGATCACTTCTTGGAAGGTGTAGCCAGGGAGCCTGGGGCCAGCTACCCCTTTTGGTTATCAGACCCATGTGATTCCTGTAAAGAGCTGAGACAACTCAGTTGAAGAGAAGAGCTGTGGGAAGCAGGTGGGCTCGGTGGCTGACCCTGGAGCAGTGGGGAGAGATGCAAGGGAAAAGATTTCAGGTTCCTTGCAGCTGCTTTGATCAGGGGCATAACTTTACTTGTTGAGTTTTGTACGTGGAAAAATGAAACCGTCCCTGAAGGAGGGGCACAAGCAGACTTTTGGGTGTGGCCTCAGTCCTTCCTGCGCTGGAAAGACAGGCCACCAGCCCCACTAAAGGGTTTGAAACTGAATCATACTGAAACTGAATTGTTTGCAGAGAATTCTGATTTCTCCTTGCATTGCCTCGCAGGCCTCTCCACGGGTGTGTGGTGAGTGCGGTAAGGGCACGAAGCCTCCCAGAGCTGGCAGGGTTGCACGGTGCCCTGAGCAAAAGCACCACAATGGTCACTTACCACATGCAAAACAGATGCAGCCCCATCTCGCTGTCTCCCCTTCGGATGGGCAGATTCCCCACGTGTGCGCATCATACCTGGTGGTAGAGCCTGCCCTATCTACTGTACTGAGTCGCTGTTTGCCCTGGTTGTCAGGCTCTCTGTGGTTCGTGTTGCAGTTACTAAAACCTTTCTCCTAATTCCATAAGGCTGGGTGTCACTGGCTGGCTTTCTTCCTGATGTGGCAGAGTGCCAATCCTAGAGGGAGGCTCCATTTACCTCCTCCTTCAATCTGTGTATTCACCTGCAGGTGTGACCCCCGCTCGACCGCCCATTCCAGTCACTATTCCACAGGTGGGAGTCGTGAACCCTATCCTAGCAAGTCCCCCAACACTAGCTCTGTTGGAAGTTAAGAAGGAGAAGGAGGAGGAGGAGATCTTCCAGGAATCGGAGAGGCCTGAAATGCTGAGTGAACAGGAGCATATGAGCATATCCGGCAGCAGTGCCCGTCACATGGTGATGCAGAAACTGCTTCGCAAACAGGAGGTGAGCATGACCCTGAGTTAATTCTAGATTTCCAGAGATACAGTGTAGCCTACAGGCCACAAGTCTGGCTTGGGTCTGTCTTTTAGTTCTGTAAAGCTCAGCAATACAATGTATGGTACAAGACCAGTCATCACCTGCTGCAGGCTATGGGCATGGCTTTTCCCTCTCTGCCTTGTAAAGGAGGAACTCTGTAGTGAGGTGCCTCTCTCAGAGAGAGCTCACTCTTTGCTGTGCTGTCCAGCCATTAGACCAAAGATGCTGATGGTCTATTACAGGGGTCGGCAACGTTTGGCACTCGGCTCGCCAGGGTAAGCACCCTAGTGGGCCGGGCCAGTTTATTTATCTGCGGTTCGCCGTCCCGGGCCAATGGGGGCGGCGGGAAGCGGCGCGGGCGAGGGATGTGCTGGCCGCGGCTTCACGCCGCCCCCATTGGCCTGGGACGGCAAACCGTGGCCAGTGGGGGCCGCGATCGGCCGAACCTGCTGCGTCAGCAGGTAAATAAACTGTCCCGGCCCGCTAGGGTGCTTACCCTGGCGAGCCGCATGCCAAACATTGCCGACCCCTGGTCTATTAGGACATTATAGTCACTGATGTCCTGGCCCCCAAATTTCGCCGCCTTCTCCGTCATTCACGTCGTCATGGTTTGTCATTGGCCATGACTGATGAAGTGGGAGGAAATAAAACTGGATCTGTAGTGTTAAGGAATCTGTCATTTCATGATCGTCTGCAGCATTGCTATTGCTGGCTGTTTTCCTGCAGCCAGAAGCATGCTGGATATCTCTGTGTCGATACAGAGAGGGCTCACAACTCCATGTCTGGGTGTGAACCATAGTTCTCTCCTCACCAAATAGAGATGTGATCCTTGTCTGATCCTTCTGAGTCCCCCTCATTCCCACCAGTCAGTGCAGTACTAAGCACTGCGGAGCTTACCGCTAATTTCAGACCTGCTGCAAGGGTGAGGAGGACAAGACCGGGCTGATTCGTACAGGAAGCACAGGTGACATCGTGAGATGATGCGGCTGCTCAGCAGAGTCACAATGGTCAAATCTGACCTGCAGAACACAAGCCAGAGACTCCCACCCAGTGATTCTCAGATACCTTAGTGACGGCCCAGAACTCTGGAGTTCCAGTCTCAGATTGGACACTGACTCCTTCTGGGGTTGGACAAGGCCCTTCCCCTCTCTTTTCTACCAAATAGGGATAATATTGACCTGCACCTCTTGAGGGACACTGAGAATTAGCTCATGTGTCCTGTACTTTGAAAATATAAAGGCCCAACGGTGGTATTGTTGAGACACTGGCTGTCCCCAGTTAAGGTTGAAGCTAACTATCCATAAAAACCCGACCCACACGACCCGCACCTTGATTTCCCCAAGAACTGTTGCATCATATCCCAAGGGGGAAGTTTAGATAAATCAGAAAATGCATTTTAAAGCTACACCAAAAGTTTTCCTAACTCCTGTTTCCAAAACGGCTTGACCTGCAAATTCCGAGTTTGTCGTGTCGGACTGAGTGGGGAGAGGCTTTGAGAAGGTGTGAATCACAGAGAGATAAGAGCTGCTTTCACGTGCATAAAGAGCAATTTTTAAAATTCTTTAATCTCACCTGCCGTTGACTGTGGGCTGTGCTGCCGGTCTGAGACCGAGACATGGGGGGATGGAGAGGGACAGGCGTCCGGCGGGCCACAGGCAATAATAGTATGGTGATGGGCTTCCTGTTGCAGAAGGGTGTGGTAGGGCAGGAGGATGGAATGGGGTAAAGGCTTGGGAGAATTCTGGAGCATGATCCACACTGGTGGGTTGGGGTGTGGGTATCCCCTGTAATGTACTTGTTCTGGGAATGATCAGAAACCTTCAGTCTCTAGGCCTGTGAGGCCAACTACTTACACCAGCCACTAAGTTCCAAGGTAAAACTAACATGAAGAATAATTGCCACCAAAATGTGTCCTGCTGTTGCAGGTAAAAGGAGGGAAATCAGTTTGATAAATCCATTTCTGTAAGGTTTAAACACAGTCTTAAAAATAGCATCTCTCCAGCCACATCTTCAGGACACAAAACAAGTGGCAAATTCCTGGTATGCTGCTGGCCTAAGTAGTTGAGCTGGAGATGCCTGTGGAAGAGTCATAATTTCTGGGCTATACTGAACATGGGTTGAGCGTGCTTCTGGTGCCCCTGGGCAGTGCCATTACAGATTGGTTCCAGAAAGCCCTGGGATATTAGTTTTTGCTGCTCAGGCCTGGCACTGAAATGGCTGCTGTGATGTGCAGGTGCCATGGCTTTGCAGGGTTAACCCCAGTGGTCCCATGAACCTGCTCAGTCACCTCTCTCTCTTCTTCCTCTTCCTGCAGTCGACTGTGATGGTGCTGCGCAACATGGTGGATCCAAAGGACATTGATGACGATCTGGAGGGAGAAGTGACAGAAGAGTGCGGCAAGTTTGGGGCAGTGAACAGGGTCATCATCTACCAAGAGAAGCAGGGCGAAGAGGAGGACGCTGAGATCATCGTCAAGATCTTTGTAGAGTTCTCTATGGCCTCGGAGACTCACAAAGCCATTCAGGCCCTGAACGGGCGCTGGTTTGCTGGCAGGAAGGTGGTGGCAGAGGTGTATGACCAGGAGAGATTTGATAACAGTGACCTGTCAGCATGAACTCTGCCTGAGAGAGACTTCTCCCCTGCCCCCTGTGTCCCATCTGTTTTTTTAGCCATGTGTAAGGAATGCTCCTGGGTGAGCACAGCTCTCTACTGTGATGTACATGTAGTTTGGATAAAAGTGCGAAGAAAAGCCAGCGTGCGTGAGTGTGTGTTAAAAGGGCCAGCACCACTTTGGTTGGGTCTGGAATGGGCCCAGTCTCCTCAGCCAACAGCTTGTCAGGCCTTAGAGAGTAAGGGCCAGAGGTCAGAAGTGCCTGAGTCAGAATTCCATTTCACCCTCTGGGGCCAGGAGCTGCAGTTTTCTTTAGAGGTGGGCAACTACTTGTTTGAATGGAGCAGGCACCATCTTTTTAATAAGTGTTTGCACCGTACGTTGGTCCCTGGTTGGAGCCCTCAGGCACTATTGCAGCGCTACCAGGAATGGGCAGTGGCTTGGGTAACGCTAGGAGCTCCTTCCAGAGCAGGCTGAGCAGCTGCAGGCTGAGCTCAGGCTCCAAGCCCTTGATGTGGGGTAAGTGCCACCACATCAGCTGCTTGCAGTCTGCAGATGCTCAGGTCATCGCCTCCGCCTCCATGAGTAGCCCCACTCCAGAGCATGCGCTCAGGCACAGTGAGATCCACGGCTGCAGCTGTCCACGTGAACAATGGCGGGGCGACCGTCTCACCTGGGAACTTGCTTGCATTTTACGCAGGCCTCGTGAGTTCAGGTTAATGAAAATATCAAGCTTGTGAAGCCAGGCCAGAGCCCAGAAACAAGTCAGTTGGGATTCGAATGTACAGTCCTGTTACTTGTGATCCGGTGGGGTTCAGGGCAGGCTGATCTGTAGGCTGCGCTAATACTATGGCGATGGAGATCATACAGCTGCATGGTGACAAAGGTGCCTACGCATGCTGCTCCCAAAGGTAAGAGGGGTATGAGAAGCAGGACTTGTTGGAAGCTTCACAGCTGGCTTGAGAGGAGTGACTACGGCCTGGGTTCTCACAGGTGCAGTGTTAGTACAACTGCCTTGTGCACGCAGCCTCCAATGTACATGTGGTAAATTGGACCTTAGAAATCTGTCCCTGTGGTGCTCTCTCTTTCAGTTTTTCTGTCCATAGGCACTATATTGAGGCACCCATTCCTTATGTGAAAGGACAGCCACTGAGCGTGTCCTGTACAGAGGGCAGAATCTGAAAGCCAGTGCATATGTGTCCTCTAGAGTTGGCCTCTGTCTAACTAGTGTGTGAGGCAGGGAGTTAATCGCTCTTCCCGCTAAGGATTGAAGGTTCATAGATTCTAAGGTCAGATATAATCTGGCTGCCCTGTGTATAATACAGCCACAGCTCCTGAGGTAAGCTAGACGGATATTTGAGGAAGATAGAGATTTTCACATCCTAAGTGAGTTGTTCCATAGCTTAATTACCCTGACTGCCAAAAATTGGCATCTTATTTCCAGTTTCAATTTGTTTAGCTTCTACATCCGACCATTAGATTTGTTCTTCCTCCAACTGCTGGATTCAGGAACCCAAAAGAGTGTTTCGGAGGGTTTTCTTATGGTCTCTTGGAATTATCAGGGGTAAAGCAGGTATGAATTAGGAATGGCTGCCTAATTAATACCAATCAACACGGTTTATGGAAAACAGGTCTTGTCAGATCAACTAGATAATGTTTTTTTATAAGATTACGAGTTTGGTTCACATAATAGACATCTGTACAGCATTTGACTTAATTCTGATTAAAAAATAACACTATACTAAATCAGTGCAGCACATAATGGATAGTAACATATTAAATGGATCAAAAAGTTGCTAACTGGATCTCAAAAAGTAATTGTAAATGAGAGTGTTTCTAGTGACGGCCTTGAGGGATCTGTCTGGCCCAGTGCTGTTTAATACGTCTGTCAGTGGTCTGGAAGAAAACATAAAAACCATTGCTGGTAATGTTTGCAGATGACACAAAAATTAGAGTGGTAAATCAGCAGGCCTAAGAGTCCTGAAAGAGTTGGCTGAGGAGATCTTTGACCTGCTCAAGTTAATTTTAAATAAATCGTGGAACACCGGAGAAATTCCCAAAGACTGGAAGAGTGCTAATGTTGTGTGGTTTGTGGTGCGGGAGGATCATTTTTAAAAAATCCTGTCCCACTCTCACATTGTTTCTTGAATTTTTATCCTGCTCCCGCTGTTCTGGCAGTGGGTTGTCTGGGACCCACAGGATCCCAGTCCCGGTGCAGGGCTCTAATCTGAAGGCGGCACCGCCGCCACCAGCAGCAGCACAGAAGTAAGGGTGGCAGTGAGGGGTCTCCCTGCCTGTGCCTATGGATGGTGGAGCGGCGAGTCGTCCCATCCCCTTTGCATGACGATGCAGGGGCTTTCCAGCCATTTGCGTGGAGGATTAAAGGTGGGGAAGAGGAGACGCAGGGGCTGCTTATCCCCTTGCAAGAGTGCATGAGGACTCTGACGCCTCTGCATGGGTGTTTTTGGAGGGTTGGGGGGTTCCCATCCCATTTCACAGGGGAGCAGGGAGTGGGTGGGTGCTGGTGGGGAGACATCTGCTGAGAACAGCATGTCCAGTCATTGCTGGGACAATTTTAGAGCCCTTCAGCGGGACTGGGATCCCGCGGGACCTGCTGCCATAATAGCAGGAGCGGGATAAAAATTTAAGAAACACCGGGGGAGCGGGTGGGAGTGGGTACTGCGGGTCGGGAGCGGGATTAAAAGTCCTCCCACGCCACAAACATGAGCGCCCTGGCCAGCAGCCGCCGCTCTCCAGCCACCCGGCTCTGACTTTCTGCGCTGCTGCTGGTGGCGGCACTGCTTTCAGAGTTGGGCGGCCAGAGAGTGGTGACTGCAGGGCCCTGCCCCTCCATATATAGATATCAGACTACACCTATGGAAACTTCTCTGCCACTACAGGATTTTTTCTTGCATACCCCCCGTTCATGTGCCCCTGGGGTACTCAAAACCAGTTTGAAAACCACTGCATTAAATGGATTAAAAACTGGCTGGCGGATCTCTAAAAGTAGTTGTCAGTGGGGAATCATGGAGCAGATGTGTGTTTAGTGATTGCTAAAAATTTTGAATAGCGTTGGGCTAGAACCAATCATCCAGAAGTAAATATTTGCAGATGACCTAAAGCTGGGGGAGTGGTAAATAATGAAGGGGACAGGTCACTGGTACAGAGTGAGCTGGATTGTTTGGTAAACGGTTGCAAGCAAACAATGTGCATTTTAATATGGCTAACTGTAAATGTGCACATCTAGGAACAAAGAATGTCAGCCCTAATTACAGGCTGGGGGACTCTAGCCTGGGACGCAGGGACTCTGAAAAGGACTCAGGGGTGATGGTGGATAATCAGCTGAACATGAGCTCCCAGTGGGATGCTGTGGCCAAAGGGGCTAATGCCATCCTTAAATCCATAAAGGGAGTCAGAGTGAGACAAGGTGGGTGATTAGATTAGGGTTAGTAGGTTACTAATGGTTGTAATGAGCCATAAACCAGTGTCTGACCCATGATTTTTAGTGTCTAGGAGAACTATGAATTTAAGTTTCCAGGTTCGTCTCTTGAAGGTGTACAGGTTTCCTTTGAGGAAGGGGACTGATTGGTCAGATATCGCATTTGCACTGGATGAGGCACATCACATGTTGTGATAGGCTGTGTAGGACCCGTGGATTATGGAAGGTGTGTTGTGGGGAGTATTGATCATCATAGCAGTGGAGATATATCTGCAGATTTTGCATCTGTTCTGGCAGGGTCTGGTGCCACTTAGAATTGGTGTGTACTGGTCTATGGGACGCTTGCTTCTGATGGTGAGCTTGGCCAGGTTGCAAACATATCTCCACAGCCACAGTGATCAAAAACCCCAACACACCATTCAAGATCCATGGATCCTACACATTCTTACCACAATGTGGTGTACCTCATCTACTGCATCAGATGCCCCCAAAACACGCGACCTGATATAACATGGGTTCGCATATAGCGCGGTAACCCCGGGGCTCCGGCAGCGGGGCTCAGGCAGCGCTTTAAAGGGCCCAGGGCTCCGGCTGTTGTGGGGAGCCTCAGGCCCTATAAATCACCGCTGGAGCCCTGCCGCTGCTACCCCAGAGCTGCAGCAGAGGGGCTCGGGTGGCGATTTAAAGGGCCCGGGCTCCCCACAGCGGCTGGAGCCCGGTGCTCTTTAAATCACTGCTGGAGCCCTGGCGCCGCTACCCCGATATAATGGGGTTTCACCGATAATGTGGTAGGGATTTTTGGCTCCCGAGGACCGCGTTATATCGGGGTAGAGGTGTATGTGGCTAAAATCAGATAATCACTACAGTCTTGATGAACTCACACAGAAAAGTAAGACACAAACACCCCATCACCCATGGGCAAACACCTTTCACAAATGGATCACTCCGTATCCTGACTTACCAGTCCTCATCCTCAAAGGTAACCCATGCAACACCTTCAAAAGATGAGCCTGGGAACTTAAATTCATAACGCTGCTAGACAGTAAAAATTATGTGCTCAACAGAGACACTGGTTTTATGGCCCATTACAACAATTTGTAATCTACTAACCCTCCTTTATACAGTGACTTCAGAGCTGTTAATTGCCCACTTCATTTCAAGTGGTTTTCTTAACAATCTGTCCCACCTTATATGTAGCTGTGACACTTTGGTAACTTGTTCCAGATATGAAGAGGAGCTCTGTGTAGCTCGAAAGCTTGTCACTTCCACCAAATGAAATTGGTCTATGTCTCTCATATCCTGAGACCATATCCAACAACACTGCAATAAGCAGGAGCAGAGAGGTTATTTAACCTCTGTACTTGGCACCGGTGCGACAGCTGTCCCACTTCTGGCGTCCACAGTTCACGAAAGATGTTGATAAATTAGAGAGGGTTCACAGAAGAGCCAAAAGAATGATTAAAGGATTAGTAAAAAAAACATGCCTTGTAGTGGTAGGCTCTGGCAGCTCAATCTATCTTGTTTAACAAGGAAACAGTTAAGGATTGAGTTGATCACAATCTGTAAGTACCTACATGAAGAACAAATATTTGATAATTGGCTCTTCTGTCTAGCAGACAAAGCTATAATGAGATCCAATGGCTGGAAGTTGAAGCTAAACAAATTCAGATTAGAAATAAGGTTTAACTAGGGGCAGAGCTTTT